GGGTATGTTGCTGGTCAAGTTTAAACATTGCTTACACAGCGTTCGGCCGCCAGGGGACGTTCATTGTATTGTTATTCTTTGGCTACCTTCACAGTATGTGACGGGATCACCTTGTGATGATATTCGTCTTGCTCCTGCTTGCATAATCAGTTTACATATCGCAACTACAGTTAAAATTATTTTCTGCAAGAATAGGATTAGGCTTCAGTATAGCACATAACGCAGAATTTTAGACATAATGTTTTGTTTCAGAATTGCTTCCTGTTCGTTTCATAGTTGCTTCTAAATTTAAAAGCGCATATACACGTATACTTGTCGCCTCGTGCTTTTGTCATGGACTGTTCCCATAAACCTGTTTATGATTTGGGTCTAACAACTTTTGTTACTTTTTAGTACTTTGTTACAAAAAACAGGTCAGCAATAGTCGCTTTTGCTGTTGGAGGTGGCTTCGAGCCGGGCAACGCGGTTAACATAGTCGCCACTCATACCGACAGCCCCGGATTGCGAGTAAATTATGACTTTTTTTACGAATTAACTAGTTTATTAACTGTCCTTGATCAACAGCTGAAACCGGTCTCAAAAATCACCAGCGTTGGTTATGCTCAGGTCGGGGTGTCAACGTATGGCGGTGGCATTTGGCGAACGTGGTTTGATCGTGACCTTACCGTTGCCGGTAGGGTGATTGTCAAGGTAGTGCGTTTCTGTTAATCGTATATTCAGCGGAGTATTTTATTGAGATCGCCTTTCTTCAGGACGGTTCGAAGTACGTGCATAAGTTGGTTCATGTGCCTCATCCGATTCTGTATATTCCGAACCTGGCAATACACTTTGATCGGCAGACCAATGAACTTTTCACTTTTAACGCCGAAGAGCATCTGCGACCTTTTCTAGCCACCTTCACTGACGAGGAATTGAAAAAAGGGAGCGGAAATGACAAAGTAGTTAAAAATAATGTTTTAATTAGAATGACGTGATATTTTCATGTATTATGTAAATGTGTTGTTCCTTCGCCGCTTTTCTAATTGATACACTTTGTTATTTGCATTTCAACCTTTTTTTCTTATCCGTTCCAACTACGGGCATTTTCTGTAGTACGTTCAAGGTTAGCAGCAAGATACTCATGTGCTAACTGAATTACTCCAGAAATTGTAGTCTTCACAAGGTGTGGGGCACCTGACTGTAAATGAAGTTATTGTGCATAAGAAAATTTCCCCTGTAACGTCTGGATTTGCTTGGACCTTGTTTCGATGCTGCTGGTAGACAGACGCCGCTTAAATTCCGGATGTAAGAAGTGATTGGAGTAAGCAGAAATCGCCTTTCAGTAATCAGTGTTCATTAATGCCATGCAGGAAAATACTTCTTTCTGCTT